TTTTAATATTTTTACATACATCATGATTTGCCTCACAGCAAGATCATTTTTTTTTTCAAAACAAGACATGAACCGCTTCGTATCTTTTGAATTATTTTTCCTTCAGTAAAGATAGTCCGTACCATTTTGCTATGCTCTAGAAAATTACTTTGCTGTGCTCTAGAAAATTACATATTTCTAAAGCAATTATAATGTCGACACGCACGTTATTGTTTGATTCTTTAAAGTTGTTTGACTATTTTGTACAATATTTAATATTTAAAATAGCGCAGATGATTGTTCTGTTGGTGTCAGTATTTTTTAAAAGTTTCAATAACCACGACTAGTTTCTTAACACGTACTCAACCGCAATCTACATCATTTTTTACTCCGCTTCACTGCCAGACGGCAAGAAGATTGTTTTCGAAATCTTTTCCAACAAGACATGAAAAAGTTTAGTATTTGAATTAATTCAAGGCTATTTCCTTAATTTAGGTATACATTTACATAAGCTTCGTACCACAGTACGATGCACTACAATACTTTCGGAACATACTTTAAAGTTTGTTCAACTATTTTGTACAGATTTTGAATGACTTCATGAATACTTTTTAGATTTACTTCACTACAAAGAACCGAAATGTTCTCAATAGGTCTAACCTGGCTCTGTGACTTTCTACTATTTTATAACTATACTGTTTGTTTATTCTGAAATCACATACATAGCATACGAGTACTAATAAACGTATTATTATTATTATTATTATTATTATTATTATTATTATTATTATTATTATTATTATTATTATTATTATTATTATTATTATTATATCTGATAGTTTTCATTTATCTATTTTGCGGCCTGAATTTTGTGTAGTGAATAAGTTGTTTAGAAGTATGGCGGCTTGAAAGTTAGTGAATTTATATACGTTTCTTCATAAAATTACAAAATTTTAGGGTTTAGAGTTGAAATATTGAACCCAAACTTCAAAAATAGTAAGATTAAAGGTAATACTTTATATTTATGACATAATCACATTTTGCTCAAATTACATGTTATACTGTCTATTTAGCCCTTTTTCTCGAAACCTGCAGGTGATGCGAGTTTACAGCCTTTCGTGGTCTTGGGTCACATATGTCTTTTATTTTTTTTTCTCTCTATGTACCGTATAGGCCTAAGAATGAGATAACTTAAAAAGTCATTAAAAAAAACACCTCAGAAGTCGGGAAAGCTCATTTCCGGCCATCTAGGAATCAAAATTTTCCCAGGGGAGGGGGGCCCCCCCCCCCCTTTATTTTTGGGGTTTTTGGGAACTTTCTGAACCCCCCTCTTTGAAATCCTCGATCCGCCCCTGCACTAGAGCTTTTGTGAATTATGTTCCAGCGAGCCCTTATTCATTTGGGCCTCAAAGTGCTGGAGAACAGAGCAGTGACACTGGTTCCTCCTACTGTCTTCTCTTTGTCTCTGTTAGTCTTAGGATATTTCTCGGTTCTTATTTTTCTGCTTCCAAGACTTTGCATTTCAAGCGCATAGAGACTATTGTAATATGCGTTTCATAAATATACAGCCATTACCATTACCAATGAAACTGTTTATCTTGATACCTTCCGACGAAAATTGACCATACCGGCGTCACCACGGCGTCCCCACCGATCGATCGAAAGTATGATCATGTCACTCCTTTACTGCGTGATCTTCATTGACTGCCAATCAGGCAACGAGTTGCATTTAAATTACTTGTTCTGACCTTTAAAGCTCTCCATCTGAATGAACCTTCATATTTACGTTCAATGATTTCCCGATATACTCCATCTCGCCGTCTCCGATCATCCTCTCAAATCCTTTTTTCTGTCTCCAAATGCCGTACCAAAACCTACGGTCAATGTTCTTTTACTTTTGCTTCTGCCTATTTCTGAAAATAACTTCCAAATTACATAACTTCTTCCAACTCTATTTGCAACTTTAAGTCACAGCTTAAGACCTATTTGTTTTCCGATGGCTGTTCACATGCGTTACGCCTTTGATCTTGTTTGGAATTGGCGCCATATAAATTCGAGATATTATTATTATTATCTAACGTGACGTTGTTATGTGGGTGTTTTATAGATTATTGAGAATGGTAATATCAAAGAAAAAATAGATAAAATGACAGTTGAATGACCAACAAAGACAACTGAAGACAATAGTTCGTCATTAGAAGTTATTTAGTATAACTTTATTCGGAAAATTAATCTCAAAATCGAGTTGCCGTCCCCGGCGTTGTCAATGACGTCGTATGATTTGTGTGCGATTTTTATCAATTAAACCCTAAGTAAAAAATAGTTGTTGAGCCATGTTGTACCTTGCAAATCAATCCAGAAACCCGGTAGCTTGATTATTGTTTATTGGTAGCGTCCCTTCGCTGCCAAAAATAGTTTTTTTGGCAGTTGCGTCCCCGGTGGACATCGTGAGGGCATGGTGAAGGCTGGTTACGATTTGGTGGCACATCGATTGAGTATTTTCATTCAACTGGCCATGTAAGTCAGTGGCGTATCTAGATGTCTTGAAATGGGGGGTGGGGACGCAAGTCATTTTTTTAACTCCCCTAAATACGCCACTGCTTAAAATCAACCCTTTTTGAGCAGTTTTTTAACGTTTCTTCGTTAATACTGATCCTACTTTTCTGGCTTTTTTTGCAACGTGTTCCTTTTTATTCAGCTATAATGTCATGTTATTTTAAATTTTTTAATCAAAGAGGTGTCGTCGGAAACTTTTTAAGAGCGATCGTCCTGTCTTTATGCTTTATGGCAATAAATGATCATCGCTAGCCTGCCCTCTATCGACATATGATTACATCATAATATTCCGATGGTATTCGACAACTATTTTGTTGAAATTGAACTTAGAAAAAGAGAATGTGCGTTGCGGTAAACACTCCATGAACACATATTATACTTGTACTTAAGTGATACACAATTTAAATTAATCAGTAGTTCAATTAATAATGGAAATTATTGAAGAGCATTCTTTCTATGTTGTAAGTTGTTATAGATAAGAATAGGCCTACTATATGCAGTGATTTAAATTGCAGACGATTTTCAGCTAAAATTGTTATATTGTATATTTTTTAGGCAAGTGACGCTATAACAGTAGATTATTACGAAGTAAAATTATAGGCCCAACAAAACTAAAATAATAAACTTTTATTGATTGACTGTTCACAGAGTGTTTTATCAGTGTTTCAATATCTGATATCCCGTATGGCCTGTTGAATTGCCTATATGAATCATTTTCACCTACAATGTTTTGAAAAAATACATACAAAATTATTCAATAATTCTGCATGTATTTCTGGCATAGTTTTCTTCATTAGCATACCATTTAAAGTATGGGACAAAGTGCCATTTACCAAAACAACAGATGAACGAATGACCTTAATATGGGCGGGTCGTATAAATAGCCTGTTAAAAAACTCTCCCTATATTTTAATAAATGAATAATTTTTATCGTATAATAAATAGGCTACAACATACAGACAGTTCATAAACATCGCTTAACTTCAAAGTGTCAGTGTGAACAAACAACAGATGAATGATTTTTTATGGGTCTTATGGTCCCCTGTACAGTAACAGATTCAAACATCACAACTGCGCCGGACATTAAAAGAAATCATCAAAATACGGTCGCATAATTATTATGGCAGGTCCTGTGAGGCATATAACTGAAACTCTCATTATGAATTATCTCGTAAATAATACATAAATACAAAAACCATGAGGAAGTGATTTTCATTCGTGTATAGTAGTCGTGCCATCAATGCATTTCCAGTATTTCTTTTCGCTTTTTGCACGACGCGCAGAGTGTGTTGTGTGAAAATAACATTTTATAAAATAAAACTTGAACTCACCGAAACGTACCAATCGGCTTCGGAATCGTTCCTTACCGGCAAAGATGGCTGCGCACATGAGATTTCATCACTTCAAAATCTTTGCGGAAAATGGATGGAAGTTCACTCAGAAAATGGTCAATAATTTGCAGTTTCAATTATTTGCATTCAAGAAAGTAAATGATTTTAACCATTGGGTTATAAGAAATGGCACAGCTATTTTTGTTGTTACAGAACATCCTAGGCCTAGCCAGGTTCAAGGGGCAGGCGGTGACGGGCTGCCCTGCCTTTTTAGTACTGGCCCCTCATCTCAAGTTCGTTGCGAAGGCAGCTTCACAATAAATAATAATAGTGACCTATTAAAAGACACAAGACCAGTTTTAAGGTATAACCAGCGTAGTTCTATACCTCCTTCATGTAACAGTGACAAGTTTGTTTATTCTGCAAGTTCAGGTAAAAATATAATAAACAATTTTAGAAACCAGTCGTGTAATAATATAAATAATTCAAATTATTCTTCTTGGAAATTTCGAGGAGAATCACAATTACTGAAAACCCAACATGAAGGATGTAAGAGCAAATCATCTCACTGTAGTAGGAGGCCTGCATCTAAACAGATGAATTGTCGTCATTTAGAAAACACAGAAACCGTTGACATGACCTCAGCACATATACAAGAAAATAACTTTACAGACTACCATGAAATTGGTCTTGGAACACACAAATTAGTTGGTGAAGATAAACAGCATATTGACTCTGTTTTCGATGTAGCATTTCATGTTCAGAATGTTGAAAAATCATTTGAAAAAGCGGTCGATGGCGGTGCACAGCCTGTTTGTGAACCCACAATGATTGAGGATGAGCAAGGTGTTGTTGCTATAGCCTCCGTTCGTTCTTGCGTTGGTGACGTTGTACACACGCTTTTAAATACTAAAAACTACAAAGGCATATTCCTTCCTGGATTTTCTGAGCATGTTCAATATTCCCATCAGGAGGATGATCATGCAGTTAGAAGAATAGGTCAAAATGTGCAGGTACATTTTGATCATGTGACTTATGCTTGTCCAATTGGTGGTACAGAGAAAATACTTCAATGGTATGAGAACTGCTTTGGAATGAAAAGGTTGAAGATTAACAGGTATGTTTCAAAATCATATAAAATTGACTGAATATATCATATGTAATATAATTTAAATACTGTACAGTATGATGGGTGGGGGCAGTGGGATACAACTCAATAAGTGAGAGAAATCTTGCTAAAAGGGGTGAAGTTAGGCGAAACTTTCCTTATACCTTGTTTCGCGAATTAATTTTTTTAAAGATCGTCAGAGGAGGGCAGAAAAAAGATAAAAATAATATATTGTTTTTCTTATTTTAACAGCAAATCGTTTTGCCAAATGCATCCAGACGGAGGATAAAATAAAATAATGTGTGAATGTAAACAGTGTAGTAATGTGATGGTTAAAATGATTTAAATTTAAATAATATGCCGTGGGTAGATGTATGGTACCATATTTCTACTGCCATTTGCTAAGTAGGTATAGTAAGTGGCATTACGTCACCATCACCCAATGAAGTGCGAAATGTGTGTGACGTCATCTTTCAAGACCGGCATTGGCATTGCAGATCGCTCACACTGTGAGCGGTGTGACTAGCGAACAATGTACAACAGGGTACTGTGCTGGATTAGGATGATTAGCTAGGCAAAGAGTATAAATTTAATACTGTCATCGATAAATAGTGTAACAAGAACAAACAGAGAGGAAATAACTTGTTGCATAACTAATTAAACTTATTGTATACGTACCCCAAAACTCAAAACTCATATGTTCATTGAATTGAAAAAAAATTGTATTGAAAGTGAAATTAATTTTCCTGTGTTCAACCGTTTACAGTAACGAAGATGATGAAGAAGGGTTTGTAGTACGAGGCGACGATGTCGGAATGAGGTTGAAAGCGATGGAATATTGGCGTTGTAATGAGACTGGTTTTGTGGCAGCAGATCAAGACCGTGACCTGCCAATCAATTTTGTTGTGGCAGAAGCGTTACCTGGACATGGTAATTATTTTGTAGATATTTATTTTTTCCCATGCAATTTCTTCACAATTGTTCTTTATATATAATTGTGAAAGAAAACGATTTATGGCAACTTATACATTGGTTAATTTTCAATTTGTTTGCTACTGTTTGGAAGTATAACATCTACATTAAACAGTATAATACAATACTATATATAGTGTATGTGCAAGATTATTCTAAATTTCAACCAATACAATACATACAAATGTATATGAAGAGAGAAAAGCACAGGCCATGCATTGTGTTGCAACTAAGGAGGCACATCCCCACCACCAAAAATTTGCTCCCCTTTGGAGTGCAAGTAGTTAAAAAATGTTCACATCCCTTCATTTCTCCAAGTAGCACCCCTTCACACCCCTATCTTCACCACCACAGACTATATACTGTTTACTATGTTAGTTAACAATTTAGATTTTAAATTTAGTTTTTAAGTACAGTAAAATATTTTTCGATACTCTTTTTATATTACCATTTTATCATGTAGATAGGTGGCAGGCATTTTGTAACCTGAATGTTTTGTGGTGCTCTGCTACATGTTTTTTGCAGCCGTGACATTTCGTAACCAAGGGATTTCAGGTCTTAAAATGTCCAGGTTTCGAGGTATCCGTGGAAGTCGCTGGGGGGGGGGGGTGGATTTCGATTTCTGGAAGATCCTGGTTACAAAATGTTGACATTCCTATACTGTAAAACCTTGAATTGAAGCCCAGTGGGCTTTATCTCGAGAAGAAGCCCATCTTTAGTTTGCAAAATTAGCCTAGAAAGCAAGGTAGCATAGGCTTCTTTTCAAGATAGTACAGTACATACACTGTGCATAAGTTTCAAAGAAACACAATAAATTAAAACACGCTTGGTTTATACAGTAGCTTAGGTGATTTAATACCAGTTTACACTGTATAATCCTTCATAATACAGATTGATGTTACAGTTATTGTTTTATAGTACTAATTCCCAAAATTTACAGCATCAATTTTGAAAAGAAGCCCCCTCTTTACTTTGCAAAATTTAGCCTCAAAAAAGAAGCCCATCCAAAGTTTGCAAAGAAAAAGAAGTAGCCCAGGACTTCAATTCGAGGTTTACCGTATATTTAAAGAATAGTTGTGGTATAAATGTATTTTCATGTTTTCTTGTTGTACAGTTGTTAGGTTTAATGAATTTTTACAATTACAGGTAGGAATCAAATTGAGACATTTCTCAGGGAACACAATGGTCCTGGCATTCAACATATTGGTCTCCATACACCAGACTTAGTACACACTGCAGGAACTCTTCAACAGTCTGGAGTGGAGTTCATCCAACCACCAGAAGCCTATTACACACAGGTCTGTATTTTTGCTTCAAGATTCAAATACTATATGCATTTAGAATTCTGCTTTTTATCATCCTTGCATTTTGAAGGTGTACTTTGTGACACCAAAATTTTGAGTGTCCCCCTAGGAATGTTTTTTGATGCAAGGGAGGAGAGATATGTTTTTTGCAGAGGTACAGTAGGTTCACTTGAAAATTGGGTGTGGCCAAACTGTAGAAACCCCCTGGTCATGGGCTTGCTACAAAGAAGACTGTAGAAACTCTAACAAGTTAAAGTTTTTTGTATCTAGAGAATTTTTTGACGTGTTGTCAATAGTATCATTATCATGTTGCTGTATTGTTTAAGCTCCAAGAGGGCTATAGTTTAATTATAGAATTCATTTTCGTCCAATTTTATGTAGTATAGTCTTGAATAAACTCATGGCAATTTCGATCTAATCAATTTCATTCAAATCCAAATATAGGTTGGTAAACTTGATGAAATTCTAGAAACAGGTCAAGAGGTTGAAACTCTACAAAAACATGGAATTCTATTGGATGCTGAAGCTGATGCAATACAACCATATATGGAAGAAATTTCCACAAACCAAAGGTAAAATAGTGATTGTACTGTAGAAGAGGACTGTGTATGAAGCATGAGTGAAAAACATCTTTTATACTGTATTCCATACATCCCTAGGATTAATTGGTAGAGCAGCTGGGTCATTAAGATGCTTGATTTCCAGGCCAATGTGTGTGGGCCTAATTCCTGTAAATGTTACATTAGTTTTTTCTCACGACCAAGAAAAACTCCACACCCTAAGCATCATCATAATGAAACTTGTTTGAGCACCTTGTGTATGTATGTTTGTCTTTGCTACAATAATTAGCCATCCTAATCCCATTGCCCAAATAATGAAAAAAATAAAGTAGGACTTGTCTTATATATAAACAGTGATAATAAAATCCCCTCTCCCTACCAGTGGCATATCTGTGGTGTGTGCACTTCCCCAGAATATATATGCAACCCCCCCCCCCAGTCACTCCTACAAAATTATGTTGAAGTAGCTAGAAATCACCTCAAATCACCTTCATTGCGAGCTAGTACCCCTCACCTAATTAACAAGCCCCCTGTTTCACCTTCGCATCTTTCACAACATTGTAAAACTCCTAGATACACCACAGTTCCCTACAGAAGTGAAGGCACACAGCCATATCAACAGCTCAGTAGCAAAGGTGTATCATATGGTGTTGTAATGTCAGCAAAGTTATTGTAGAGGAGGTATATAGTATTTATTTTTGTATAGTGAACCCCAAAGTGCAGGAATATCTGGGAAAAGAGAGATGTATTGAAGATGTTTATAAAAATGATTATAAATGAGTTTTATACTCTGTCTGTATTCAGATACCTCATGCAAGTTTTCACAAAGCCACTCTTCAAAGAAGATACATTTTTCTTGGAGTACATTCAACGCTGTGGTGCTACTGGTTTTGGCGCTGGGAATATAACTGCCCTCTGGAGGTCTGTTCAACAGTACATGGATTCACCCTCTGCTGATAATCTCTAGTAGCATCAATTTTACTAACTGAAATTTAATGCATAAATTATGATAAATCTTCTATGCTGTATTAAGCCCAACTCGGACAGCGTCGCACGACACAGCCTGACACAATTCGTTGTCGAGTACAGTCTTAAGCCAGTGCGAGAAATATTAAACATGTTTAAATATTCTATGACGCGACAGCCCCCGATGCCAACCATCGCGGCTGCATTTAATTCGCACAGACTAGACAACAAATCGCATCGGGCTGCGTTGTACGATGCCGAGTTGGCTTTTATTTATGTAGTTTGTGTTATTAATAGATATTGAATATATTTTATTTTGTTTTTTATATATTTTTAGACTTCTTTTACATGTAACAGCAAATACAGTTCAACTTCAACTTTCAACTTTAATTTATTTAACTTGGTTCAAACATACAATTCAACAGTACTGTATCAACTAGAAATACAAGATAGAGTTCTCCACAGAATGAAATGCATGGTGGGAATACAAACAATGGGGTGCAGCATACAGCTAGATCTAAAAAACCTCTGCCTCTTTTGGCGGAGGTAGAAATCGTTGCCATTTTCCATAAGATACAAACAATAGGCATAAATGAATCAAAAGTATAAAATAAGACACAAAATTGCAGAATCATATAACCGGACTCTGACTAGTGATAGTTTCCATCATTAGTGGAAAGAGAAGGGTGCCGTGTATGTCTGGATTTGCTTAGCAACAGAAGGGCACCCTGTACGTCTGGATGTGAACTGGATAAGCGTGTGTAAATTTGCTATATTGAAAACTGAAGGGTGCTGCTTACAACTGGAATTGCATAGAAGATGTGACGTATATCTGCCTCACTTTTGCTATGCGAGTGCTCTATCTTGTATTTCTAGTATCTTTGGCGATACTCTATAAAATAATGCACTAATCACACTGTCATTTTTTATTTGACAAATACCTGGGTTTTACGCATGTAAGGGCAGGATAATGTCATTTTGTCACCCCATGATCATGTTACATACAAGTATATAGTGTGGACAGATCACAAGTTTAATTACTATATATAATACATATAGATTAAAATGTAAAATATTGGAAGACAGTAATTTTGTTAAAAACAATGGCTGGATCTCAGTAGAGATGCAAACATATGTAAACAGCCAGAAATAGAACAGATCTTTTAAACAAGTCTTTCCTCAGTGGCAATTGAGTGAGGGTAGAAAAATCCAGATACAGTAGGAAATAGTTGGAAGTCAGGCTAGAATGTTTTTTTTCTTCTAACTTATTTTATATTTAAAATGTTTAAATTTGTATGTTTAATATTATTATAGTAGGCCTCATTATATTTTATTGATGCTGTAGATTAAGTACAGGTGTATGTTTGTTGTCATTTTTAAAGAAGGCCCTGGATATCAGCTGGGTTACGGGTTCAGTTGGAAGGGTTACCCTCTTAAAATAAAATAAATAGATGAGATAGGGCTAGGTAAATGGCAGTGTGAATGAATGAACAGCGTGAACAAGAAAGCCAAAACTAAACATTAGAGATATGCCTCTATGCATAAGCCAAATGATTTATAGATTAAATTTAGAATGCCATTGGATTAATTTAGTAGTAGATTATTATAGTAGGCCTCATTATATTTTATTGATACTGTAGATTAAGTACAGGTGTATTTTTGTTGTCATTTTTAAAGAAGGCCCTGGATATCAGCTGGGCCAAAGGATCTCCCAGGTTCAGCGCACACACAGTGGTTACCACAGGTTTGACCAACTGAGCTAAGCTGCTGCATGTTAATTGCCAAGGTTTAATACGGTTATTTCTCGCGATAATGGGACTCATGAAATACTGTTCCTCCTTATTTGATTCAATTTTGAAAATACATAATAGAATATAATACTGTACTATTAAAAATTAAACAGTAAGTCTACAAAGGACTTTAAAACTACAGTTACTACTATGAAAATATAAATTTTATGTTAACAGTTATATAAATTGAAAAAGATTTATTGAATATATGCTGTACTGCATAATGAGTTAATTAAAAATATAGTGACACTATAAACAGTCTACAATACTCTTCTTTTCAGTATTTTCATTATAATTTATTTAGCCAGTTTATGAATTTTATTGGAAAGCAAACAGATTGAAACTACATTGGCAAAAAACAATGGAATAGAAAAAATCATGAGGTCTACAAACAACATTGGGTGAACAAAGCAGACAACAGATTAAATTATAAGGATAATAATGTATTGCAGTATTTTTTTATTATTCTTGTACACAATACATAATTATAGAACTAGAGATATAACACACTATTAACAGAGCATACCAATGATAAATTAGGATAATACAAACAGTAAAATGAGTTTGTTACAGTTGAACTTGCCTAAGTCGAACAGGGACGGTTCTAGCAGGGATCCAGGGGGAAAATCAAATCTCGAGTGCTGAAAGTACAATTTAAGCATGCCTTACTGAGCTGTCAAATTTTATGCTACCGTATGTGCGAGGTATTGTATACCATTGCAATCGTATGGGTTGTAGTGGTGGCACCAGCTCTTCTCCTACCTGGTACCTCTAACAGCATAAAGAATCCCATAATTAACATTTTATTATTGTTTAATAAAAAAGTTAACTAACAAATTTAATTTCTTCCCCGACGAAGTGGGGAGGGGGGCTAGGCTTCCCCGATGGGGAGGTGGGGCTAGGTGTGGACCCTTGTCGGAGAATTCCTGGCGCTGCCCATGAAGCCGAATCTAAAATGGCATTGAAAAATTGTTCAACTTGGATACAGTTTTACTTGCAGATCATTAATTAATGGAAAACACAACAATTTGTCATGTAAAATAAGATGAACTTTTATAGTCAAAGTCTACTTAAGCAAGTTTAACTGTATACAAAAGGTTGCTACATTACCATGATAATAGTGATTCTACATAAATAATATTGTTAATCCCACTTAATTTACAAGTTCAAGATTGCAGGGCACCCTTCGGAACAGAGCAGGAAATGGACCTTTCCGGTAAGCGTCGCCTCTTGGATATTGTTGCTAAGGTCCCGCAAAATGACATGTAAAAAAACGTGCGGATTGTAAGATGTCCAAATTCCTGTGTACTGCCCAATTCAGTGCCACAAGAACCCCACTGTATATAAAATCAAACCAAGAGAAGTCTTCCCAACCCTTTCCCCCATTTCCAAACCAAATGCCACTGGACCCAAACCCCCCTCCCCCACCGCTTGGTGTCAGTACCACATGGAAAGCCTTTGTGTGCCGATGTCATTGCGGGCACACAAAGAAAAATCAAAACAGAATGCTCCAAAAGCAACTAAAATTAGTTGTTTCTGGCATTATGGGGATCTTATTTAAAAATTCAGGACATTCACAATTGAATCGGGATAGTTGCAATGTCTGCATATAACCTACAGTAACCATAATTTTCACAAAGGTTTATAATGTTGTTTGCTGAGAAGGCAGACTCAGTGCTATGAGTGAAGTTGTAACTCGGTGGTTAGGCTGCATGACTTCCAATACAAATGGTCCTGGGTTCTTATCTTTAAAAGGCCAAGGTATATTGTCTTATGCCTAAAAACAGCATTGTTAAAAGAGTGATCTGAAGTACACATTCTCTCTTTCATACATAGTCTTCTTTATATTAAAATGTAATCTAAAACTCAGGTAATTCATGGTTCTCTCTCATTGCTGCCTCCTGTTCCTCCGTTTCCTGTTGCTTCATTTTTTCTTGGGCATCTTTCTGCATTTGTTCCAGCTTTTCTAATGTGACAGATTTAAGTGGCAATAGCTTTGGTTTGCATAGAACAGTAGTGGGTATGTCTTCCTGGTGCAGCATTCCCTGCTTTGGGAGAACTTCATGGATGACATTTTTAATTTCCGATGCCATGGTCCAACTCCAAATAAGGTTCTCTATCGATAAGACTAGAGGATTTCACCACCCTGAAAAAACATCATTGAAAATAAAGAATTTAGAAGTCAAAAAGCCTAGTATTGCAACAGTGAATATTATTACAGCGAAACAATGAACAACTGATTATAAATAATACAATGCTATTTTAATTCAGTATTAGTCTTAACATTTCGAGGCTTATCATAGGCCTAGCCTAGGTTTGTCATATTAGCTTAGGCAACTTAAACCGCGTTGTCCTGGCTGGGCGCGCGCAGGCGAAAAGGACATTGTATAGTATAGGCCTAGCTAGAGCAATACCAGTACCACCAGGCCACGAGGCCTAAAAAACAAGCCAACGGCACTGGCCTGGCGTTAGTACAATATATGAAAGCGTGGTAATAAGTTAAACTTTTGTATTAAGAGATAAATCTGATGAACAAGAAAATAATTTTCAGCACTTTACGATCGATTTGTATCTTGTTGTCATGTCACAACACCCTTTTTACAAACGCCCTCTATTGATTGTTAGATCCCCAAATATATGAAACAGAAAACTGGGTTGCTTTGTTTATATTTTAATAAGTTTTTCAAATAAAATTAAAACGAAAAGAATTTTCTCTCCAATTACCAGACGTTAAAATAATAGTCTACAATGAATTTCTGTAAATCACTTAGAAGTTATTTATCCGATCCACCCCACTGAAAGTTGATTAGCTTATGTGAATCTATAGGTATATTAAGTGTGTGTTAGATCATTGCGGTATTTCAATAGAAGTAAAAAGTATAACTTTTCCGTTTTCAACAATTGCCCCCTAAAAATTATTGCTGGTACCACAAATGAACTAATACAAGATAAATACCCGGCTTTATTGTTACAATGTATAACAGATACATAAAATTTGGTTCCAGTTGCTAAAAAGCTACATTCAAAAATATTTTTTTTATCTTTCGTGGGGAAAACACTTACCTTTATTCAAATATTTTGACGTGCTTTTTCATCTTCTTCTTAAAAAATAAGTTAATAATAATAATAATAATAATAATAATAATAATAATAATAATAATAATAATAATAATAATAATAATAATGCTTACAGTAATAATATTAATATGACGAAAAGAACAAGGCATTTAATGAACAAAACGCGAGCTTAAGTTGATCTTTTACCGTTTGGTAGCATTGCATAATTATTAGTACACAGTATAGTAGTAATAAGCCTAATTAAAAATAGTAATTCCACCTTTTTTCCAAACAATATACAAAGAGAGAAAGAATGCCAAATTTTGAACACTGAATATCTCATTTTAAAGTATCAAGTACAATAATAAATACATATTGTACTAAAAATACAAGGAACAGGTATATGGTTATAAAGATCGCCCAAAGTGTTAGGAGACCTTACGATCAGATAAACGCGCACCAGAATACACAAAAATCAATGGTAAATGGACGACGGACTTCAGGTCCAACGCTTTACTTAAAAACATATTTTGAATCGGTTTTTTTGAAACTCGTGACGCCTGTAAGTCACCCTCCATCATATAATTTACGTGATCCACAGAAAGTGAGGGTGTATTCATATTAGCAATTCAATTAACAAACTCCGCCCATCCACTAAATAAAAACATTACCGTCACTTCCACCTAGCACAATCGGCGCTTCATACACTGTATATGACGATATTTACAGTGTTGATTTATTCGAGTAAAAGTTTACATCGCGACAACGCATTACTGGAGAGGGGTCTGCCCTTTTGCTTTCAAAATGTATTTATTATCGTATTTTATATCGTTACTACTATTGGATCTAGGAATATTAAAATCAATAACTAATGCCAGATTTACAGGTGAGTGACAGTTAATTTGTAGGAGAAGATAGAGAAGGCATTACACTTTAAAAGGCCCACCCTCTTTTCTAGGCTAGCCCTATCATAGGGCCTATGCTCCGTCTTATTATAAGCAACATAATACCACGACCACCAGCTGTGCTGGGGCTGGGTTGGACCGCACGGGTCACACGGCCTAGAAATACAAAATATTAGGGAAAAAAAAGTCTGTATTCCTGGTCCATGTCACTGTAGGACAAACAGGACAAGCTCGCTCTATTTTATTTTTTGGGGGGTCTTCTATCATGTGCTTAAAATTTATTAAGGGCACATAGAAAAAATTATTATTAGATTTAATGTCACTCTTTTTTTTTTTAAATTGATGAGGGAGGGGTTTTTTTTTTTTTTAAATTGATGAGGGAGGGTTTTTTTTTTTTTTTTAATTGGTACAATAAATTATTTCACTTTTGTTTTTTTGATGAGGGAGGGACTGTTTATATTTGGCCTGTACCCCGGCCTATAGTAAATATTGTATAAAAACTGGTTTAATTTTATAGTTTTTTAAAGAAAATGTATTTGAAGTCACAAAATTGAATTGTTATTTTATGCTGTTGAAATAATTGATGCGGCAAAAAAAATATTTCCCGAATTTTTGACGTGGGGGGGATTGATAAATCTAATAAATTTTTCTATTTGCCCTATGTACTATTTGTGTATTCTATAGTATAGTACTGGACTGCTTGCTGCTATTTATTTTGATCTAGGCTAGGACCTAGGCGCTATTTGAAATTTAGGACCTAGCAAGGCCCTATTTAATATAAATTGCTGCCTTCTTCCAGTTGTTACTTAGAAGTTACTGTAATTAATTTTAAGACTAATACTTATAGGAGGCTAGGTTAGGCCGGCCCACACCAAATAAATCCAATCTAAAGGAAAGTGCTGCATCTATCTAGAGGAGACTTAAAATTAAAAGGGGGAGTTGGTAGGGTGGGTGCACTGGACGGGTGGGTGCACTGGACGGGTGGGGGAACTAATGTGTTCAGTTAAGCAGAAATTATTATTCCATTAATTTTTATTACAGAAAATTATAGTATAAATCAACAAGAACAATTATCAAGAATTAATAATTATGAAATCGTTCAGCCATATCGCCTACAGGGTAGAAATAGAAGAGATATGTCAACATTAACCGAGGTAAGTTTTAACAAAAATTAATTACTTATCATCATGTACGCCCCGCTTCAAATTAAAGCCCCCTATAGAGCCTCATTTGAAATACAGTAAATGCCGCCCTCGAATAAATGCCCCGTTGCATTTATTTTTTACTCAAATAAACGTCGTTCCCCCCCCCAAATGACTGTAAACAATTACGTGTTGTAGTTCCACATTTACAATGGAATTAAGGGCCATTTATTTGTAAATACGTATCCATTTTACACCAAAAGAATTAAACGCCTCCCTCAAATAAATGCCCCACAAAAACTCTTCTCAACAATAGACACCCCGGGGTGTTTATTTAAATAAATATATGGTACTGTAAATTAGTAATAATTATCCAAATAATACACTAGTATTGCTACTAGTGTTGTTGAATTCTGATCGATGCTACTGTATACTTACTTTAGCTGTGAAGATATGACACTATAATCCAAAGTTTGGGTCATTGCCATTGGCTAAATCACAGAAGTGATGTAAATGTATACAAACTTGAAGTTGAGTCTCAAGTTCAAGTAAACATAGAGTACCTGAACATACAGTACATTCTTATTTATCATTCGGGTTAAAATATATCGGAAGTGGGTTGGCTTGCTTATTAAAAGTGCTCCAATGTTTTGACCGAGCAGATAAAAAATAATCAATTAGAAGCTAGTGTTATCAATATTTAATTGTGAACAAATTGCTACTGTAGATCTCTGTACTTAAAAATATATAATAATTATATAGATCACTCCCCAACCAAACCTTATCTACTGGTTCATCAGTCTACCCGGCTCTTTCAATGGGTACCAGCAAAATTTGCTGGGTGTGATCTGTAATGTGTGATGGACTAGCGTCCCATCCTGAGGGGAGTAGCACATTCACACTCCAGCCCCTATGTAGGCACACCGAGGGGATTTACATTTTACTTACAATGTAGCTGGGTACACATGTACAGTACTTTTTTATGATTTTTATCATGGTCAATATACTGTAGTGTCCCTCCTTTAAACATGCATGTAGTCTTGCATCTACTGTACCACTAGATCCTAGACTGGGCTCCAGTCCCTAATCTTTGTTTTTAAATCGATTTTGGCACCAATGGCATTCCATATTACCTATTTGCTTGGCGTTTCATAGTATACTTTTTCTTGGATAAAGTTTCTCGATATATACCGTCGTTGGTGGCGCTCTCCAAAATTAGCTAATACTAGGAAAACCTATAATTAGAGACTTGTGGCAAGTCTACACTAGATCCCTTTTCCTTTTGATATCTTTCTTTAAAACCATCGTTTAATAAATATCCCTCCTTAAAAATCCAGCTTTCCCCTTCGCATACCCTGTAAAGAGAACCTTTCTACAGAGGTACTTTGTGAATTTGATTTTTCCTCCCATTGCAGCTCTAGATATTAGAGCTTATTAGAAAAAAATGGAGAACACATTGAAATTTCCAAGGCTAGAGATTCATCCTCTTTAACTTTATTCCAAAATAAGGCTTTATTTTTTGGACTATAGCAAAGCAAATTAAAAAGTTATACAACTTCCATCCTGTTACTTTTATGGTCAAGGCCAGGAAGGTGGTAATATAATAATTAGTGAAATAACACATTTTTAGATACGAAAATGTACAACATAACGTATGTTAAAAATTTGCAATAACCATTTTACTCATTTTTTTTATCGGTCCATGTACTGCCATTTTGTCTAACAATACAGATATAATGGGATGATGTTTCCCTGGGGAGGAAGTTGTGAATCATCACTGATAACTTGCAACAACAATGTGTAGCCTAGATAATGGTATTTGAATGCATTGGAGATTAGGTGTGCAGTGTAGTGCTAATTAGGTCAGCGTGGAGCCATTGGTACCGTATGAGTCTATGCTAAATACCCTACAAAATTGTTCATGTTCTTTATTATTTGGTTCAATCATATTTCATATTACAATTAGGAATTTATTAAAGCAAAGAGTATACAGGAGAGCCGTACTCCCATTTGTAATACGTCACTCCCCTAGTGGAGGACGTCCGCTGCCGTTTGTTTGCTCTTTATTACCCACCACTGCACCTTGCACGGTTTGCTTGTTTACTTGTTTTCCACATGATACAATACTTTTGTAGAGGATGGTAGATTTCTTTAGTTTTCTTTATTGTCATACTATCGTGCGCAGTGCGGTACTGGGTAATAAAAAGCATATCTGTACAAACGGCAGCGGGTGTCCTACACAAGCTGCGTATGCCGTATCATTTTTTTACGCTCTAAATGAGCGTAGTTGGCTCTCTTGTTCTGTTTGTACTCTTTGATTACAGACACTAAATTATTCTTCCATGACTGCCAGTCTTTCACAGTGCAGTAATACTGTAGGATGCCAAGTGGCAGCAGCAGGATTTGGCCAACTAGGGGGTGGGGTCTAGGCTATTTGACAGGGGTCTGATGGAAACCAGTGGGGTGGGCAAAACACTAGTTAGTAGTAAGGGCTGGCGAGAAAACCTTTTGTCAATTTTGGTCCATTTTAATCCCTATTTTTGTTACTACAGTACAGTAGTACTGTATATAATTAGGGAGTTGGTATAAATAAAGCTCAAAACAAAAATATTGCCTAAAACTAGAAATTGCAAGTGAAGTGCTGTGAAGTACAACTGCATATAAATGTTCTTCAAACAAAATTATTTATGCGAGTCAAGTGAAAATAATGAATAATAAAAATATAACAAATAATATGAGACACGACCCATTGTCTATATTAGATTATTTTGAAGAGAGCATGGTCTAGGAAGTGTACATTTTTTTATGGGGCAAGTTTCCAAGGGCGGGTTTTCTAGGGGCGAGTTGACTGCCAAAGAGTACATGTTGGTTAGTCTACAAACGTCGCGTAAAGTAATTAATTTTACCCGGCAGAACAAAAGAAGGAAACTCCGCTTTTCAGTCCTCTTTAAGGCCCTTGGTTTTTTGACAAACAATGACCTTTCAGAGATCAAATTGCTGTCAAGAATATGAATTGGCTGCTTCGCACTGCTTCGCAGCAAAAAAAGTATATTCTAGAGAAAAAGAAATTGTTAAAACTCCCCTTTAATGCTATTGTACAATTGGTTTGCGCTAAGCTGATCAATGACATTATGCACACTGCAGCAAACATTATGTCACGGAAATAATTAATGAACTAATATAATTTTGTATTGCTTTGGCTATAAATAATACTGATATTCCTCTCAGTGATCAATCAAAATTAGTTTAAAAAACCTATTGTATGCTGCTGGCGGTATCTAATGTGTTTAATTGAGAAATTTAATTATTAAGAAAAGCAATACATTTAAATCCTCTCTTTGAAAAAGAGAATATATCTAAGAAGGGCAACATAGTTAATGCTGCTTTATATTGTAGATCTATACTCAAAGGGAATTTGTATTTAATAAATATTCATTCTTACAGTAGTCAGATACCTTTTATACCTCTCAGAATGGTATATAAAGCACCGGACTGGATACAATAACTGCCTCTAACATTCTAACATAAATATATTTAAAAGATTAAAAACAACCTTGAAAAAACTAAAAAGAATAAATATTGAATAATAACTAGCAGCTTTTCTTTCATATTTTTAGTATTTTAGTGTTTTGAAATCAAAATTTATATGCAACTTTTTCATTATTAAGAGTAGTTTTAATGTTTTGTATTTTTCTGTTGTTAAAATGAAACCAATTTTTAGATTTTGATTAGTGTAATGTAATTTTGTGTACTTTAATTTCATTTTTATTAACTTTTGTACAGTATATCTTTTCTTAACATGTGGTAAGTTACTTACAGTAAGTCATTAATTACTTTATTTTTGTATTTTTTATATAAATTTGTATAAGTACAGTTACTGCTGTAGTCAAAATGGCCTTGTGAAAAACACAATTTTTGTGATTCAAGTTTTTCCGTTTAAAAATAAAGTTATATTATTATTATTATTATTATTATTATTATTATTATTATTATTATTATTATTATTATTATTATTCAAGCATAAAGGAAGGAAAGCAGATGCTGAGATGCCATTCAGTAAGTTGTATATTATTCAAGTCAAATTGAGAGTATAATATTAGTAGAATACATTGTGTGTTTGTAGGACAAATGTGCATATTCCTGGTCAGTCAGTTAAGTTTGATTGATAACCTGGAAAGGTCCAAACAGTTGTTGCATTGTTTGTTGTATTAAATTTAATTAATCAATTAAAATTAGTATCATCTGACGGTCATTATCACTGCCATGGTGGTACCAAGAACAACAATCCAATGCACTGTTTTCCTCTCATCACATGGACAAGATGGAAAACACATTTTGAAAATCGGTTTGGTTACCTTCGTAATACTTATGTTTATTGTACAGCTAGGACAAAAATGTTTTTATTGTGCCTTTAACACACATGATGTGGATAATTACTGTAACTGCTAACAGGTGATTGGATAAGGCACTCCCACATCTGAATGCATCCATTGTAGGCCTACAGTTTAATAATTATAAATAATGTTATAAAATGCTATACACTATTCAAGAGTAGCCAGTAAAATATACTTAAGTTTAAATTTCTTTTTCAGTAGAATAGAGCCAATGTATGACTAAACGGAGTACTTTCTAATAATATTTAAGAAAGCCATGTTTTGACCAATATGAATTTTTGTGCATCTGTAGTAAATAATAAGACTTTTTCAAAATTATGACAGCTCTGATTTACTGTAATGAATTTGAGTGAGTGGGCATAGAAATATGGAGTGGGCAAGGACAATTTTATTTAGTTAAGTACAAAGATTACTTACTGTACAAGGTCACATACTATGTACATAAGTTTTTTGTTATTTCATTCATAACACAGTATTTTAGGTTTTTATTTTGTTTTCAGAACCAAATTATATAATAAAGAAACCGTTAAAACTTAAATTATAAGTAAAACCTACAGGGCCCACTACCAAATTTAAAGAAATTAATGACATACTATACTATATAATACTAGTTTGTTT